AGACAGTCTGTGTTTTCAGTACAATGAATTGCAGATGTCCTTGTTTACATAATTCAATCAGCTGTTTTGTAGAGTTTTTGGAAGTCATAGTGAAGAGGTACAGTCACACACTCAACAGCATACTGGCAGTTTTTTGACTAGAGTAATCCGATGATTTGCTGTTGCACATTAAGAAAAGGGAAGCATCGGTTCAAAGCATGCTTTCTATAGGAAAGCCTGCACATTTTTTTCAACACCAAATCTAAATACATTTGCAGAATTATCACAAAATATTTATACGTATTGTTCTGTGTAGATGCTTTTTGTTTATTTTTCCCCTTTTTTCTGTATTTCTTTCTTGTGTATTTCAGTTGTACAGTTACTTGACTAGAGCAAGGGTGAGCAGATGTGGGGGGCTTGGGAGCCAAATGGTAGTTTGTAGCCATTTTTTTTAAAAAATGTGAAGAACAATGCCTATGAAAATGAGGTCCCTTATTTGCCCCAGTGGGCGAAAGGTGTAACCAGAGATGATCTGAGGCTATCCATATGTGCAATTAAATTGAAGATTTATTTAAATCACAGCACATAAACAGAATAAGATCCACAAAATGAAGCCAAAATATAAAAGAAATCAAAGGAAAATCAGTGAATTTGTAACAGTACAATGCAGTGATGAAATGAAAAGTGCAAAGCAGAATAATCTGTATTATTATGCAAAAATCAGCCTCAGTTACCGCCTTAATAAAACATAATATTTGCCCCTAACCTTCCACCAGCCCTCTATTTGAAGCTGACTATGTTCCAGCTGTTTGGCCTAAATATTGAGAAAGAACGACGTATAGCTACCGATTCCAAGAAACAGGTTCCTGAAGATTCAGGAGAATGTGAGTTGATCCAGAAAATTAAAAGAAAAATAAAATAAAGTAGTGAAATGAGAGAGAGCGAAAGAGAGAGAAAGATAAGGAATAAATAAAAGAACACAGTAAGAGAGATTTAGAATCTCCCAGAAGGTTTACCCCATTGTAAAAACTGAGGCTTCTCTCAGAATCACAGAGCAGTCAAAATCTCCAAAAGCAAAAATTACACAAGAGAAAGTGAACTGGGAAGCATCTGCATGTGGGCATAATGAATGAATGTGACTTTGAATCCCAAGCAACAATTGCTTTTTGCTCCACTGATGGCTATAATTTTCCTGCATCCTGTTAGGCTTCTTTACCTTCATCTCTAAAATTCAATTCTGTGTTGGTAGATGGCAAGCTGGGAGAAAAAGTGCATTGCACTGCTTTTTTTATTTATTCCCTGAAAGTAAATCATCTCTTTGTCCTGCTGCACGTGATGTGACCATAGCATCCTATCAGAGTACACTCTGGGCCTGGAGCCATTGAAAGTATCCAACCTTGTAGCTTGTCCACACTGTTCCATTGTCTTCAAGCCTTGTTGCCACAGCAATTGTCTGTCTGTCTATCTGTCTTTTTTTTTTTCTCATTTCATCATGCAAAAATCCAGGCTGGAAAGAATTCTCAGCCAACAGGAAACAGTCAATTGTGTTGCATATGAAAGAAAGGTTTCCTCAGTGCCATTCCATAGGCAGGCCATGCCACAAGTTAGTTCATTCCATAGGCTTTATATCTGTAGGCCACTTCACTCCACATATCCATAGGCCTTCTGTCTAGTGTACCCTTATACCTAAAATTTTGACCTGATTGACAGTCTAGATCAGCATCGGAAATGGGGGGGGGGACCAAAAACAACCAAACTCCCAAAAACCCATCAGAAATTGGGGGGTGGGACCAAAAAAACAAACCCCTCAAGACCCATCGGAAATTGGCGAAAACCCCCAAAACAAACAACCCCCCAAGACACAGCACAGAAAAACAGAAGCCTCCCTGCAAACATACACACACTCTCTCAGAAGCAGAAGGAGGCAGTCCCAAGCCTCCAGCCACAACACACTCTCTAACTGCTGGGGCAAAAGAGCTACAAAGAAGCAGCCTTGTCACCACCTACAGTTAGCAATTTGAATTTCCTGCCTTTTCCCCCTGCCTTTTTCTGTTCTTAAGTGGAAGCTGCGGTCGCAAGTAGAAACAGAATTTTGCGGCCGGAGCTGGTCGTAAGTCGAATTGGTCCTAAGTAGGGACGTTCATAAGTTGAGGCACCACTGTAAAATCAAGTAACATAAAAGGAAAGGAGAAGAAATGACATTTCTTGATTTATTTTATATTCCACTTTTAGCCCAAGTTGCTGGAGCAGTACCTACTGTCCTCACAACAATCCTGTGAGTTAGAAAGATCTCCAATGAACAACTTTATGACCAAAGCAGACACAGATTTCTCTTGCAAGCATGAATTTATAAAACAACCTGTTTAGCCAGGAAGGTGCCAAAAAGCTCAAGACTTAGGGCACAGTTATAGTAGGGAAATGTTCCCTTGTTAAACTCTTCTTGTATATATCCATTAGTTAGTAGGTTTTATTATTAGATATCATTATGCATGTTATTTTATTGTATTTTATCATTTATGTAAGTTGCCCCGAGTAGACTTTGTCTAGAGGGGCGGTGTATAAGTCTAAATAAACTAAAGAAAATGAATCAGTAACACATTGAGATGTTTGTCCACATATATATACCAAGTGACCACTATTCAGTACAACAGAGGTATGGAAAGTGTACAGGTGTGCTTGCAGCCTCAGCTAATTGGATCCTTTTTGACATTTTCCAAAGTTCAGATTGCTGCAGAGATGGAGCCAATTTCTCCTTTGAAAACTTACGTCAAGAGCAATGTGCCCTCTGATTTTCAGCCCCACTGGGCAGGGCTCCCCCTCTTGTGTGCACACAGCTTCACCCTTGCGTGCGGATGCAAGCCCACACCCGCATGCAGGGTTCTGTTGCGACTGGAACCTAACATGATCGCTGTGTGGCAGAGGAAGAGAGCTGTGTGCAGGGTGGCAAAGATGCACGCCCCTGGCTTAGAAGGAACCTTGTTCAAGAGACTAGTCTCCAATCCTGAGAGAGTATTTATTGAAATCACTTTCTCCTAAGACAGAATGCAACTGCGATGTGCTTTTTAGCGTATGGGAAAATGCTTTGATTATGCCTTATAAAATTATATACTAATTCCTTGGAGGTACATGGCAAAATGTCTGCCTTTCTAGAGGACTGTCACTCCATTGCTTTCTTTAAAGCAAACACTTTTTGACTCTTTTTCGTAAAAGTTGTGACTTTTAGTAGTACTGCAGTTCTCCCTTCCCATTAACACAGCAACAATTTATCCTGTGCGAAAACTGCTGCTTTCCTTTACAAGTCTGTACAAGATATGTACCAGATAAGTTTCAAGAAAATGACTGTTTCTTCTATTTGAAAGGCCTTTTTTGAGGACCAGTATTTCAGCCCTTACCATCTGGATTATTTCCAAAAAATAAAAGGGGTTTAGGACAAACCATTCTGTTTCAAGATAAGCACAATTGGTCTTTTTCATGTGAGCGATATTAAATCTGGGGTCACCTATTTCTAAATGGAGAGGGTAAAGCAGTTTTACCTTTAGAAACATCATAAATCAAAAGCCTGTCATCCAAATGTCCCCAAATTTGGCACAGTGAAAAATCAGACTGTCTGCTAGTACATTGTGCCAAATGTGTTGCTCATCAGAAATCCAGTTTCAAATCTACAATTTTTTGTTTTGGCTGTCTCCATTTTTAGACTTGCCTTGTAGAATGGTGATATCCTGTTCCACACAATATCACTGTACTCTCAAGAAGCAAAAATAACTAGCAAGTGTATGTAATTGGGTTGATTAATTCTTTAGATGCTTTGCGAAACTCCCTATTTTGGGACAGAATATATTTGTTCAATTTTATGTCTGTTCTGTAGGAAAGAAGCTCATTTCTTTGAAGGAAAAATTGCTAGGAGCCTTCTGGCCTTCAAGGATTAAATAATTATACTTATTTTGCATAAATCCTTGCAATTGTTTGCATTTAATTAAAGCCATGAACAAATGTGTAAACAAAAGGAGTACATTATTTGATTTTATGAGCTGTAACACTGTACAAACAAAAGTGAAGTTGAAAAAACACAACATAAGGACAAATTGAAAATCAGCTATTTTGATAACTGTGTGTGTCATGTAAGGAGAAATGTGACTGGTATTAATGAGGGGAGAGATCTTTCTCTTTTATTTTTAAAATAACAATAGTGTTGACATGCTTCAGGGCATTGTGAGGCATCTCTTATATACAGTGGTGCCTTGCAAGACGAACGCCTCGCGGGATGAAAAACCGGCAAGACAAATGGTTTTTGTGATCGCTATGATGCCTCACAAGATGACTTCTTCTATGGCCGTGCTTTGCAAGATGAATGTTTTTCACAAGACCGATGCCTCGCAAGACAAATGAATTATTTTTCTCTTGCGAGGTTCCCATAAGAATGCATTGCAATGCATTCCTATGGGAAGCTGCTTTTTGCAAGATGAAAATTTTGCAAGACAGTGCTACTCGTGGAATGAATTACATTCATATTGTGAGGCAGTACTGTATTATTATAGCAGCGGCTCCCAGCTTTGGGTAACCCAAGTGTTTTCTACTGCAACTCCCAGAAACCCCTTCCAGCAGTTTGCGATAGATGTTTCTGGGAGTTACTATGCCAGGATCCAAGCACACAAGCAGAAAGCTGTTCTGTGTATTAAAGTAATTTCTAATTCTCAGTCTCCCTTCCATTTTGTTCTCTACTGCTCCATCTCAAGCTGCTCCACTTGATCGCCAACCTTACTAGAGGCTTTTGGGTAGGGAAAAATGCCTACAGTGAGAGGGAAGACTGGAAAAGTCCCAGACTGAAGATGAAATCCACATGACCCTTTACATCCCTACTGGAGTTATGGACTTGGGTGTGACAAATTTGCTTAGCATTTTATAATCTTCTATAAAGTACATCGCAACAGTAATGGAATTTATTCTGGAATAGGATAGGAACAATAGATGAACCAACAGGAATTGTGACTCATCCATATCACATTTTCTTTCCCTTCCTTTAGGTTGAAGATTGTAAAAATTTCTTTTAAGTGCAAACAGTTTTTTATTCAGCTTAGAAAAGAATTGGTGAGTACTGGCCTTTACTATATCATCTCAATTCCAAACTGTTTTCTTGTGATATGATTGTTGTCTTGCAAGTTACACCTTTCAGAGCTTTGTATTTGATAATTTCCTTCCGTTTCTTTTATATGTGGATTCAGTAATTATCTAAGGACAGACACTGTTTCACTTTAAGCAGTCTTTAGTTTATTAATATGTGCTTGTGTTATATGCTTTAAATTTATGTTTAGAAATGTAGTGAACAGATACTTGTTCTTCTTTGCAGCCTCTGTGAATCACACTATGGGTAATCCACGCATGCGCGGAGCCTCATCAGAATATTCTAGAGCTTCTGTGGTATATGTACCTTGGCACCAAGGCTCTCCCTTCAGTTTCTTTCACCTGCCGCATTGAGAGCCTCAATCATTGCTTCTGTAAGAAATCTGAAAACGAAAGTAGGGATGTTATTGAACTTTATTAATTATTATTATTTTCAAAACAAGATACGCTCTGGCCTTAGGGCCGAAATGTCCCCCCACCACCTTTCCATTGTTTTCTTTTCAAAACCAGTTCTTGGTTCATGGCCTTTCCAGGCCCATTTAAAAGCAGCGTAGCCTACAATAACAAGATCCCGCTCTGTGACGGCCTCCCTAAATGCCTTTTTTACCTTGGTGAGGCCATCAGACTTCCTCATCCCCTCACTGCAAAAATTTTAAACACGGAGTTTTCTGCAGTTGTCTCTCTAGACTCAAGCTTTGGCTCTGAGAGCAATCCCTAAAGCCGTGGATGAAGTTGTTTCTGAAGTGACAAAACAGTGCCCGTCAGCTACTCCATCTCGTTCCAATCGATAACCTACTCTGTCCTTTATATTGACAGTCACGTGAGCACACCAAGCCAAACATTCGACGTCGAAACCCTCAACCGAAAACTGCCTGTAAGAGAAAACCGTCCATGGACGCTTCCTCAGCACCAGAACTGTCACCTCCGAAGAAGGCTAAGTCTTCAAAATCAAAACCGTTTCCCTGACTCCACAACCACTGGAGTTTAGAAACCTCATCTACGTCGGTTCTCTTTCAGATGAGGAGGCACTTCCACCTCATCAACCTCACCATCGCAGTCTCCCGAATGGAAACAGCGTGTTGATCGACTCACGGCTTCCCCTGATAGCCCATGACAATCCTCGGGCTCTCCGATTGAGTCTTCACAAACTGCCTTGTCAGACATCCATGGCGCTAAACGGAACCAGAAACTGTGCCTTACTCTGCCCCTGTAGGCCCACCTCAGCTTCCGGCACATCATCAAACGCATCAAGGCTATATGAGTATCCGCTTGCCTTCTCACGGGGAAAGAGATCACGCTCAATACACCATCATCGGTATGCTGTTTGCCTCAATTGGTACCTAACGGAGAAGCCCTCCAGGCACTATCGGCCAGTCGCTCTTCCTCTTCCGGTGGCGCTGCCCCTGCAGGATGTCTCTGCTAGGGAGCCTTTGGTGTTGAAGCGATCTTATTACCATGATCGCCCAGGACTACCTGGCACCTCTTATCTGCCAGCACCTAAGAGCCCCAACCAAGCCAATCAATACTCCTCGGCTCCAGGCCATGAGCGCTCATCCCACTCAGCGTCACTGGCATCTGTCTATTCCAGCATAATACAGTGTGGTCCATCAATGCCTTTACCACCTCAACAGCTCTCACGACACCGATAGCAACCTCCATTTCGATTTCACATTTGATAGAGTTGGTCTCTTCAATGCCGAGACTGATGACATTCTTGAGAATGTTCAGAAAAAGAGGACAGCTGCCAGGCATTCAGGAGTCTACCCGACATACCAGCAACACCCTCAGTGCAATTAAAATTTCAACAAGAACCTCAAAGCAAACGTCTTACGTACCTTACTACACAATCTTACCGAGCCAAACCTAGCCAACAAACCACTACTATGCACAGTGACCTTAAGCTTAAGCATCATGTTTGACATTCAACCAGCCGAGATCCCAATACCACCTCTCACCTCTCCTCTTCCCCTTTGGAAGCACTTAACCTACATGGAAAGACATCACTACCTGAGATGCCTGAGTGCTCTCCATCGTAAGAAATGGGTACCGCCTTGAATTCCACCAGCTTCCTCCACCGTCACACCTCCGTCGCAAATGCTACAAAAAGAAATATAGTCATTACTACTCAAAGACACCATAGAACTAATACCACTACAACACACAGTCATAGGTTTTTCTTTTGCTGCTTCACCGTCCCCAAAAAAAGATGGAGGCCTTTGCCCCATCCTCAACTTCAGGGAGCTAAATCAATACATCACTACCACCAAGGTCCGCATGGTTACCCTCGAGTCTGTCCTCCCCTTACTCCGCAGAAAAGACTGGTTCGCAGTCATAAACCTACGAGATGCCTATTTTTCATGCCCTACTTATGCTTCCACTCAGAACTCAGGCCTACCAATTCAAAAACTCTCATTCAGACTCACAACAGCTCCCCGAGTATTCACCAAATGCATGGCCCCTGTGGCAGCTTACCTCAAACTTCACAAACTTCACATCTCCTCATACATCGATGACTGGCTGCTTGTAGCACGGTCCCATCACAAAGCACAACAAGACATTCGCTTCACTTTGTCTCTTCTCCAGGATCTCAGCCTTGCAGTAAATCTACAGAAATCCAAGTTAAAACCCACAAGGCTGGTTCATTATATAGGAGCAATTATAGACTCCAGATATGCTCAGGCATTTCTTCCAACAGACAAATGCCTCAATCTAATTCCTTACTTTGTACGTGTCTTCACTCCTCGTGTTTGTATCTGCTTTAACAGTCCAACATGTTTTAAGCACTGTGGTGTCCATGACTACTGTGGTTCAGCATGTTCGCCTCAAAATAAAATAACTCCAGGCATAGTTCCTAGCCTTGTTCAACCCATTGACAGACTGACCACATATGTCACTGCAAGTCACTCCAGAACTCGCCTCTCAGCTTGCATGGTGGCACTCCACTCAGAACCTGACGATGGGATGGCCCTTTCAACAACCCTGCCCACAAATCCAGGTTACTGCTGATGCCAGCCTTACTGGCTGGGGTACCCATTGAAGATCCCTGCAAATCCACTCCTGGTGGTCACAAAGAGAGAAACTCCTCCATATCAACAAGTTAGAACTCTTAACACTAATAAAAGCATGCAGAGCTTTCAAAAACCATCTTGTGGGCAAAATGATTCAAATAACCACAGACAACACCATCATGATGTGTTATATTCACAGCCATCCACATTTATCAATCACTACAGATTGGACATTCGGCAGTATTCTGATGCTGCCTTTGGGCATGCTGTGTTATCATCAACCTTGGTATGACACCCTCCTCCGGGTATGGTAGCTTTTTAGTCACCCATAGTGTGATTCACAGAGGCCATGAAGAAGAACGATAGGTAACCTATCTGTAATTGTAGTTCTTCATGACCTCTGTGATTCACACGTCCCGACCCGGCCTCCCCACTATCACACCCTTTTCTTTATGCGGCGGTTGACCTAACTAAAGGGAGAGCCTTGGCGCCAAGGTACGTATACCAGGGGGGAGGGGTCTATGCTAATGTATTTTCCTTTGCTGCCACAGAAGCTCTAGAATATTCCGAGGAGGCTCCGTGCATGCATGGATTATCCATAGTGTGAGTCACAGAGGTCAACTCAAAGAAGTACAATTACAGGTAGGTAACGTGTTGTTCTTAAAGCAGGGTGCAGAGGGAGGAAGAGAGAAGGAGAAGGTGAAAATACAACACCTGCTTGGGTTAAAATAGGCATTATGCTTTATTGTTTGAAATGGCATGCTATTTTGGTGTTATATGCAGATGAACCCTTGAGGGGGACAGGCCCTACCTCAGTTGTAGAGTACATACCTTGCATGTACTAGGTTCAGTCTCCAGAATCCTGCCTGATAGTCTCCTGCCTGAAACCCTGCCCCTCCCGAGAGTCACTGCTAGTCAGAGTTGACAAAATTGACTAGATGGACCTGTGGCATGAATTGGTATAAGGCAACTTCCTGTATTCGTGTGAAGTTCTGTACAGGCTGCCTACTGTGGCGTGGGGGAGGGGGAGAGACACCAGGGAGGAGGGCTTTCTTAAGACCAAATATAGTGAGAAGTGCTTAACTTGTTTTGCACCACTGCTCTGTGCTCAGCTGATACGCCAGCCTCAAAGATGAGCTGTGCTGTGAGCTTTTACTCCTAAGCAAAACTAGAAGGTTACTTCAAGGACAGTTCCGAATCCCTCAGCAGCATATTGCCAGTCTTCTGTCTACAATGCTTAACTAAGGTGCAACTAGAGTAGGCCCATTAGAATCAATGGAATTTAAGAAAGAGTTAACTCCAAATCCCAACTGATTCAGTGGGCCTACTATAATGAAACATACAGTGGTGCCTCGCTTAACCGGGTGCTCTGTTTAGCGACGAAATCGCTTAGCGATGACTTTTTCGGAGCGTTTTTGCGCTTCGTTTAGCGATGGTCCCTATGGGCAATTTTCTCTTAGCGATGGTTGGGACCATGCTTCGCATAGTGATTAAATTTTGGGCCCCCTGTTTCTCTTAACGATGGTTTAAACAGCCTCATGTTTGCGTTTTTTTAAATGTTTTCCTGTTATGTATAAAGTTAAAGTTTATTGTTTAAAATGTTTGAAATCATAAAGTGCACTTAATAAACCCTTTGTTAACCAAATTTGATTTTGTTCTGACTCTTTTTAAATTTGTTGTTGTATTTTCCCTCCCCCCCATTGAGATGCATTGAATAGGTTTCAATGCATTTCAATTGGGGAACCGTGTTTCGCTTAGCAATGTTTCCTATGGCGATTTTCGCTTAAGGATCGCAATTAGTTCCTATTAGAATTGATTGTCTGGTTTTCAATGCATTTCAATGGGAAACTGTTTCGCATAGCAATGAAATCGCTTAGCAGCAATTTTTTCTGAACGAATTAACATCGCTAAGCGAGGCACCACTGTAGTCTACTAAGCAACAGGATTTCAGCCAGTGTCTAGAAGTTGATCAGCAGAAAGCTTAGTTTTGAATGGCTCTAGTCAATTATTCAGTGGTATTTGGAATTTCGATTGTTGAAGAACAGTACATAAAGCCTTATAGCCAAAACGTAACTGCGTAGAAGGGGTGTTCTGCTCTCTGCTACCCTTGCCTTTGTAGGGGCTTCTTTAAAACATTCAATACATTTACCACCTTCAAGGAAGTCTCACTGTTGATGCAATGAGTAACTGTAGGCAGCGGGGCTGGTGTTCTGTGACCTATATTTGTTTTAGAAAAGAAAGCCCAACATTTCTAGCAGTTGCTGAATATATGTACTAGAATGTCCTTGAGTCCCAAAACACTTGTCAGCATTTCAAAACAACCAACATAGCAGTTATATTTCAGGATCATGAGACCACTTTCTTAAAATTTTATCTTCTAGCATGAAACTAGAGAAACATTACTAGGATTCAACATGGTGAATTATCGAGCCTGTAAGAATTTATGGAAAGCTTGTGTCGAACACCACACCTTTTTCCGGTTAGACAGACCACTGCCACCTCAGAAGAATTTTTTTGCACATTATTTTACTTTGGGGTCAAAGTTCCGGTACTGGTAAGTTTGGCTTACTACACATGTTTGTGGTCAAGGAATACTTACTTTGTTCATTTTATGTTTAAGGCCCAGAAAATAGAATGGAGGCAAGAATTTGAGATATCTGGGGAAATCTCCTGCATACCTTCCCAATATGCTGTACATACCCACAATTTTATTTATTTTTTAAAGAAAAGCAAAGGGCTCCCAGCATCCCCATCAAAATACCCATCAATACATATGTACATGGATGGGCAGTTATAGCCACACACAGTATTTAAACTCATGATGGAAGCAGCCTCGTAGTGGTGGCAACAGCTGCTTTCTTTCCTCCAGTCTGTCTTAAAACCAGCAGGTAAAGCTTATCAAGAAAGGCAAAATAAGTACCTTAATTGACTTTGCAAATTCTCAATGACCCTGAGATTCCCAGATGCCTAGGTCCTTTTTGGCTCTGCAGGAATCACTCGGGGCCACATTTGGAAATCTAGCCGAGCCTTTCTCTCTGTTTCTCTCTCTCTTCTACTCTGGCATCTTGGAGATTTAGACACAGTCATGGAGTTGCACAGGAGATGCCCTAAGAGTTTGTGGACTCCTCCTTGTGGCCATGATGTGGGATTAGGGGGAGCGTGCAAGTCCACAGCTTGCCATGAACTGTGCTCATAACAATACACCTGGAAAAGAAGGCATTGTGTAGATGCTTTAGGTAGAAACTCTCAGGCAAAAATGCCTGATTGTAATGTATATTTTGTTTAGTGGCAAGGTTTGCTTAATTACAGAGTTACAGTATTACGATTTTAAACAGAGTACGTACCGGAACGATAGGAAAATGTGAGCTGTTATAGCCTGCTGCTGCCAGTTTGAAATCTGTGACCAGTATCTTGCTGCATCACCTAAGGAAAATTGTGTAAATAGTCCTGCATCTCTGAAGGGTTCCTGTTGCATGTCAGCTGTGACTATGCTTTGGAGATTGGTTGTGTAACCGGTTGCTTTATTGGTTGTCCCATGAGGGCCTGCCAGAACAGAGGAAAACTTACTCAGTTGTCTCTAGGCTTCAGCCAGAATACTGGCCTTTAATTCAGTTCGTGTGAGAACTGTTCGTACAAATTCATTCAAACATAGAGAGTTAAGTTAATATTGCCTGCTGTACCTTTGCTACATCTAACGTTGATTGATTTGGGAAGCTAAAAAAATTCCGTTTTTATTTTTAGATTTTGATGTGTCAGTATTCTTCTATTAGATGAGGCAAAGTATGTCTGTGTCCATTTACTTTCTAATCTCAGCATTATAATTTGCTTTCAGTGGGAGAACTGAGGTCCAGTCTGTACAGTATGGTAAAGAAAAAGCTAATAAGGACAGGGTATTTGCCAGGTAAGCAGCTTAAGATTATTTGTATGCACATGATTATAGTGACTTATTTTACTTAGATTTCTTCCCTGTCCTCAAAATCATTTGGTTGCTATAGTCCAGTTCTGAAATTCCCTTCCCTCATGTGTGCCTAACACAGGAAGGGAAGGAAGACAATGTTTGCTGCTGTTTCCGCATGCCAGCTGGTTGAGACTGTACTTTGCACATAGAATGATCTGGAATCTTGATCAGCCAGAGTTCTTGATTGCACAGAGAGACTTTCACATGTCAGTACACATGTCTGGACCTATTATTTGTAGTAGAATAAGCTTCTTGGGAACAAAGAATGAACAGGGAATTTAGTCTGGTCCCAGGGGAACCTCTTTCCTCTCTAATACCTGTTCTTACGCTTGCGGAGGACAAACTGCTGTCAGTCTAGTAGAATTGGCCCAGAAACTAGCATTAGTCTCAGACTAGCTGGGTAACTTCTATGCCTTTGTCCTAAATAGGGAAGGATCATTATAGGGCCCCCAGGAGAGAGAACAATTGAGATATTAGGTTGTAACCTAGAATGAAGCTTTATTAAAAGATAGTAATGTAGAAAATCACAGTGAAGTCACTAAGGGCTATCCCAGTAGAGAGAAAGGAAGAGCAGCAGTGAGACAAGGCAGCGCATCTGTAACAAGGCAGATTGAACAAGAAGAAGAAGAGAGGGAAGAAGTTAACTGGAATATCAGGTAGAAGGGTCTAGGTATAAGCAAAAACATCTGTTTATTCTTGTAATTTGCTAACATGCACAGACAGGAAGGGAGAGACATAGATTCTTAGTGAGGCAATACATTCAGAAATTAAATGACAGCAGGCATTGCTAAACTATAGTATTGCTGTCACAGAAAGCACAGGTAAAAGAATATGTATAAAGCTACAGCTTCCAGGGATCACCTGTTTTGAGTGTCTCGATCCAGGAGTGCTCTCACAAACTGCTTAGTTTAGGACTTCAGTAGCCAAAACCAAAAATATTTGCTGGAACTGCGGTCCAGGGGGCTAAAAGAGAAGAGGAGCTAGTGCTGTTTTCTAAATGTAGTCAGTAGAGGTTAAGTGCTATGTGTGTTTGGTATTAAGTGGACGATTATAAAATGTAAGAGCAGGTGCAGGAGTGTTTCAAGGGTGTGGCAAAGCCACATTGGCAGTATGATAGCTTAAGCAATGTGTTTGATGGTGTACATTAAAATAAATCCCAGGTAGGCAGCCAACACCTACCTTTCCCATACATCCATGCATGGCAACATGGGGAATGGCTGTTATGAGTTATGATAGTGCTCTTCTGTTTCAGTGCAGTTTAGTTGGTCAGATCCATCATCTTTGCCTTTTATTCTTAAAGTTGGCAACATAGCAACTACAAACAGGTTATTTGGAAGATAAGAAACCAATGGAAACATGTGAACAAAACGGAGGGTTTGTTGCCCTTTTAATAGTTGTGTAGAGGATGGACCTTTGGCAGGCATACACATTTTTTTGAAATTTCATACTCCTGGTATCTACAGTACTTTGGAGATTTATCTTGTCCCTTGTTATTTTGTAAACAATTTTGCATAATCTAGCTAATGTTGAATTTAAATCTCTGCAATCCTTTAAGCTATCTAAAAGTAAACCAAAGAAATAATAAAACTCTAAGTAATAAGTTTTGCCTGGACACTTAGTAGAAGAGGAAGTCATAGACCTGTGGCAGAGAAGAATATATTGCTGCAGTGTGGTAACTCTTTCTTTGAAATTTCCACAAAGAACAGGAAGTTTGTTAACAGCCAGGAGTGGGTGAGGCTATGAGGTTAAAACAGTTAACAATCAAGCATTCAAAATATAGCTTCACAGTTAGATGCTTTTGTTCTTCGTTATCAACTTCTAAGAATCCTATTTGCTGATAAACTTTCTAGTTGGTATTTCAGGTGAGTGTTGTGAACAGCATTGTCTCTAGAAAGAGGACACAAGTCTCACCTTACAGAATGTAGGCATCTTTATTCATGTAACGTTTGTTTTGGGTTTTTTTAAATATGGTCAAGTATGTGAATAATATTAATGCTCTTTAGAAAGGAATAGGTTAGCTGTTTGCATATTGATGTCACCATCATATTTTCATAGAACATAAGGATTAAGCCTTGAGTAACTACAATACATGTTGATGGTGAATTAGCTAATCCTTTGCATGATACTTCTTTTAAATCAGTTCCAGGAATGTTTGTTGTCAAGATTTTTTTTAAAATTACTAACACCATGCAGCTATGCTCATGTTAGATCTGCAGTTTTATCAATTAGAAATCATTCAACTAAGTCAATAGAAAATAAGCTTAAATTGAATTTATGTCAATATGTATCTTTCTTTTGGGGGGTACATATGTATATATATTTCTTCTTTACACTGTTTATTTTTAAAACAGTAGAATTAGTACCATTTTGATCCTGATTGGGCTCCTGCCTTGTTCTTTAATGCAACTGTTCGTTTTTTGAAAGCTGTAAATCTAGGACCTATCTACACAATTGATAACAAAATTTATAAATACCAATAAGCAAAAGCAGCTTTAGGTAAGAGATTATTGGGAGAAGAGAAGCTGAAAGAAAGGAGGAATATGCCTAATCCCTTTGCCTGTTTTGCACTGCATTCTCCTTTTGTAAGTTGTATCCTTCATTACACATGTGCATCCTGTCTGAATTGGCCCCTTAGTAGTGCGGAACCATAGAAGGAAAGGATGGTATTGATCCTGATTCTGCCTTTGAGATAATAGCAGGCAGTAATTGGCTTATTCTTATTTATGAATCCAGTGCCACTCATACATTATGTTTTAGTTTTGTTATCTTTTGAGTAAAAGTCATTTCAAGCAGTCTGTAAAACAGTTTCAATCCTCGGATGAAATGTACCATTCTCTGGGCATAGGAAATCTAGTATCATCTGCCATCTATTCCCAGTCATGCCTTCAGTGCATTTGTAGACATATCTCTCTGGTATTTATGCATGGATACTGATTTGTTGTAGATCCCCAAGTAAACCTCTGGCTCGCAAACTGATAAGTGGGATGGACTGGGAGGTTGTCAGCAGGAATTCACTGACTGATGACCGGTTAGAAACACAAAGCTTACCATCACGTTCTCCACCTGGAACACCTAATCAGTAAGTAGCAATAAACAGCTGCTTGGGAACTAGTTGCGTTTTGTTCTTATTAGTCAAAGGAAGTAGACTGATTAAGATCCCCATGTATGTATATTCTGAGACTGTAGGGTCACGAAATGAGAAGGCTGATAGGTTAGGTGATCACCAGATAATTAGGATAGCAAATAGTCTTAGAGAGAGAAGTTAAAGAAGTCAGCCACACACGCAGGGATGTCTGATAGGCCCTGACTGCCTAAGAGCCATACTACAGATTACAATGGTTTTTAAAAGTATTTTTGATTGTCCACATCTGTTTTGATTTAAACACAGCAGTGAAGCCCTGATCCTGGTTGTGTACTATGCCTACGTTGGAGTGCCACACCAGTTCCATGTCAGCAGTCTCTTTCCCTACTCCACTACTGCTAGCATTGGAAACTACTATTTACCTCAGGCAGCATGTTTGGGTAGCAAATAACAACAGAGGGAGCAAGAAACTAACATCTGGAGCACCAGATCAATGTCCCACAGCTGCTTTTTCTTTGGGATAAAAGTGGTTGGTGTAAGCAAACATTTTGAAAACAAGCTTTCAGGAAACTGTTTGTCAGCCCTTATTGTACTATGTGCTTTGAGAGTAGGTACATGAAATAATTTTGAGCAAGTGATGAGTCTGCTATGAAAGTTTTTCCCACCATAAAATATGATGCTGTGAGTGGTAAATATCATTTATCATATTAGGGCTAGCCTTTTTTCTTTTTTTCCATTTTCTCTCCCTTTTTAAAACTTTGATGGCAATATGGTGGTTAGACTATAACTTTCCTTTAAAATCTGGGTTTATAAATATTTGGCGAGTGAGTCATTTAGGTCTCGAACGGTTATGAATGGGTGTTTCAAACAGTGCCCCCCCCCCAAAAAAAAAACACAAGAGAAGAAGCCCGGGTTGAATGATTCTCCTGTGACATTAGGAATAAATTGACTGTTTTTTTTCTTGGTCCCTTTCACTCACACATTGGTTCTGTGTTTGCACAGAATTGTTTGGAATCTTCTGGAGGCAAGTTTAAAGGTTTTTGGCAGGAGCCCTGCCCGCCCAAGAGTGCACTACCCAGAATTCATGCCCCTCCCTTTAGTTCATTTTTGTCCCCCCTGGTATCCACAGTATGTTCAGAACTTTTCCTGATCTGAGTTTTGCCTTGAAGGGGTTTCTTTGACATTTTCCCTTACAGATTCCCTTAACTACTCTTTGGCTTCCCCAACTAGCTTCATCATCATACTCTTGGATATGACTTTGAACCATATGACAATTCTCATAAACCCATGACCTCCAAAGGTTTCTTTAAAAAGTGTATTCAGTACGATCGCAAGACCCCACAAAGCAACAGCCATTGTTTGTGTCTATTTCACTTGGGAAAATGTTGTAGTTAAGTGCCAGCAGTCTCGCCAAACCTGCCCTCCAAAATAGGCAAAGTAGGCTCTGAACTTTTAGATAGGGAAAAGCCTTAAGGCTTTGGAGCAAGCTAAGTACATGGAGCCCCTGTTAGCATCAGTTTGTTTTTGCCACCTCAAGATTTATCCAACTCCTGCCATTGATGCCACCATTGATATTGTCATAGTCTTCCACATCAACCACTCTCACCACACACCCATCCATTATCGTAGGCCAATGAAAGCTATCACAGCCTAGAAAGTAAACTTCATCTCAAGATTGTAGAACTCACTTTTTTTATTTTGACATGAGTTTGTTTTCTCCTTTGACAAGGGCTACTGGCTGTTGTTACTCTGCATTCCACAACTCCACCCTTTTGTGACCACCCTCACTCATACTTGCCAATGTAGGCCTCCATTTTGACAGACATTTGGGTATTTCATATTGTCCAACAGGATTACTCTATATAGTTTCACACTTCTATCTGCAGGACACATTTCTGTTACCCACTCATCAGACGCACTATGTCAAGAGATCTTCCTTCTTGATGAGGGACCTATAAAATAAATAAATAAATAAATAAATAAAAATATAATATCTGCCTATCTGGTCTTGCCCTTCTTCTGTTTCACAGGTGTTTGCCCTGTCCTTGTCCTCCAAGAGCTATTATATAGACAGGTGGTTCTCATACTTGGGTCCTCAGATGTTTTTTGACTGCAACTGCCAGAAATACTGACCAGCACAGCAAGTGGTGAAGGCTTCTGGGAATTGCAGTCCAAGAACATCTGGGGACCCCAGTATGAGAACCACTGATATAGACATCCCAAGGTTCCATGTGGTTACTCTGCCAACAATCCTCCCTCTCTTTTGCCATGGAGAGGGAGGATTGTCACCACCTGCCCTTCTTATAGGCTTCAGTTTTCAGTTATGCCATTTTCCAGGTTCTGTTTTGCTTTAGCTACTGCCTTGAGAGTTTTCATAAAATGCCCATTAGTTATCACCACCCACCTTTGCACTCTTGGTGTTGTGGTCGAAGCTCAGATATAAAAGATTGCACGCAATCCTGTGCAGAGGCAGAACAGCCCATGTGTATGAGTGCACAAATGACCACTCAAAGAGCCACAGCTACAGGTAAGCAACCTGTTCTTTCTGACCAAATCACAAAATTATTCTAATGGATTTTTTTCATTGTTTGAGTTTTGGCATTTCTGGAACAACTCCCATGTATACATACATACAGTGGTGCCTCGCTAGACAGTTACCCCGCATGACAGTTTTTTCGCTAGACATCGACTTTTTGCAATCGCTATAGTGATTCGCAAAACAGTGATTCCTGTGGAGGAATTTCGCTAGACAATGTTTGGTCCCTGCTTCGCAAACTGATTTTCGCTAGACAACGATTTTGACAGCTCCCTCCACACTCGCAAAACAGGTGTTTTCAGGACCTAAGCTTCACAAGACAGCAATTTAAACAGCTGATCGACAGTTCGCACAGCGGCTTTCCTATGGCCGATTTTCGCTAGACAACCACGATTCTTCCCTCTTGAAATGCATTAAACAGGTTTCAATGCATTCCAATGGGGAAATGCTTTTCGTTAGACAATGATTTCACTAAACAGCGATTTCAGTGGAACAGATTATCATTGTCCAGCGAGGCACCACTGTACGTACATACGTACATACAGACAGACAGACATAACGAAAAAGATTAATAGAGTTCTGCACTATTTGAGACCTTGCAGGAATGGAAAATAATGTGCACCTGTGGCCATCTGTGTGTTTATAGGTGGTTTTCATGAAGCTTTGTAGAACTGTGTCATGATACCTACCATCTACATGCTAAATAAATTTAAGTATTTCCAATAATTGTTTCCTTGTGTCTAAAGATGTTGGTTATCAATTATTGTGTTTCCTTTCACATGTTGCTGAAATAGATTCCATAATGCTGTATCACTGATGGAGAATTTATCCCACCTAAATCAAAGGAAAGCAATAAACTCATGCATCTGCAATGTTAGATGGTAGAATTTATAGAAAGTGACAATATATTTCTTCAAAGTGTATAAATGCAAATTAAATTTAACATAAAGCTTGTACATTTTTTCTAATACACTTGCCATTACTGAACAACGGTTTGTTTCCTGTTCAGTCGCATTTCTACATTTACTCAAGAGGGAAATCGTTTACGGCCATCTTCAGTTGGACATCTAGTGGACCACATGGTTCATACTTCGCCAAGTGAGGTTTTTGCAAATCATCGATCTCCTTCTTCCACACAGGCCAACAGCATCATTCTGGAATCATCGCCGTAAGTTTGATTTTATGACTCCCTTACTTTACAGAAGCACATACAGGTTTTTAAACCCTTCTCCTAGCAATTGTTTTCATTTTTACCATAGAGTCAGCTGATGGCCATCACCTTTTGTATTTGGTATTTAATAATAATAATAATAATAATAATAATAATAATAATAATAATAATAATAATAATAATAATAATAATAATAATAATAATAATTGTGTGTGATCATGTTGATTCCAACTTATGATGACCCTTATAGAGGCTTTCCAGCTGTAAAGTATTCACAGATTGATAGGCAAAAACTGCTATAGCATCAGGCTCCTGTTTTTTAAATAAGCAGAATAAAAAAGTTGTTGGATAAAAGTGCATTATGAATCAGGACTTGGTATGGTTTAAAATGCATCTGACATAAACAGTTTCTCTCAGCAGTAACAACACACCGCAAATCCTGTTTGTAATAAGGAAATAATACTTACCTAACCGGCTAGACTTTTAAAAAAATGATATTACCGAAACAGTGTAGAAAAAGCATAAGTACTTCCCAAATATGTGATAAGTAATGGGTCTTGTAGTCACCAACACCACATTCAGATGACCACCAAGCAGATTGCCTATTGGGAAACTACAGCAAGGTGCTGCTGACAATGATATTTTAAGGAGTCAAACAAATTTTGTCCAACTTAGTCAAATGTACCAAAATAGTGTTGACACAGTGGATTCTTACCCAGGTGTTGAGGTAGATTCCAATCATGATCCTTTTTCACAGTTTGCCACCTCAAATTAAATAAAACACAACAGATCAAAACAGAAAAAGCATAGAAATTAAATAGCTGTGCACAACTGTATATACTGTTGTTAAAGGAGGAACCCACAAAGGCATCACAGAGATCACAAACTGAAATGCTATTTGCTGTAAAGTAAGTGGATGTCACTAATAGCAACCTCAAAAATATGGATGTAAATGGAAAGAAGTGGAAGACAGAAGGAATTTCAGAGCTAATGGAGGAAAGACCGAAAAGAGAGAGAGATGACATCAAAGAGAAAGAATGCAGCCAAGGGAGGGGGTTGGAGAGTTGGTAAGGGGAGTGATGAATGACTCTTTGCAGCGAAGCAGGGTAGCAGTATGCCTTAAAGAGGCTGTAGTAAGACTACTGTTAACCATTCTTGAATCCAAATGTACTAAATAATAACTGGTCTGTTTCCAGTATTCATTTTGAAATGTTTGGTGTCTTCTCAACCTCAGGCAGTCTTAAACGATGCACGTAATCTAAGGGAGGGTCTTCACTGTCCGTTTTTGGTGTTGGTGGAGGGGGAGGAACGATATGCGGTTTGGTGTGATCCTTGTATCCAAATGGCATATCTCTTCTCCTGTGGAATCTTCAAGACTCCTGGGCTTTCTTGGCAATTGTGAAAAGCAGCTCTTCCCCCAATCTCTCCTTATTCTCTCCTGAAAACTTCAGGCTAAGTTCCTGGGCCAGCAGAGGAGAACTTGTCCCAAATGGTACGTTAATTTGGAGTACTCATGCTGTGGATCCAGCTCTCTTGCATGTTTCCATTGTTAAACAGTCATCCGATGGGAGTGGGTGGGATGACTGGATTCTACTCAGAAGTAGAGATGGGGATATTCATATATGTATATGAATATCCCCACACAGGTGACATTAACAAGGGTCCAGCCCCATGGGGCTGGATGGTCCACTCACCGATCCACCATGGATATGGACGACACAATTATATGAATGGCTCTGCAGCTCACTATTCCTGGCAGGAGGTGGGAAGACAACCCTCACTGCAAGGTCGAAGAGTGGTGAGCGGATTCCATACTGTGATGCCCTTGGTAGAATCCTGCCATCTGTGTCCGCGTCAGATCAGTGAATGGACCGTCCAGCTCCATGGGGCTGGACCCTCGTTAACACCACCTGTGCAGGGATATTCGTATACGAATACCCCATCTCTACTCAAAAGTATTTGCCCTGGAGATCAGATGAACTTGACTTCCAGTAAACAGGTCTTTCATGTTCCTGCTATCTGAAGCTAAGAAAGGTCCATCTCAGAGATGCAGGGGGCTTCCCTTTGCTCTAAGGAAGGACAGAGTTTGTGGGGATTTGACTTTTGCAAATGGCACATTTAGGAGTGGATTTTCTTTGCAACTGAAGAGGTGATGGGCTAGATTGCATTTATTGCCTGGTTGCAGCCCAATCCAACCTGGGTTTACTCAGAAGTAAGTTTTGCTCATTTGAGTGGTCTTCATCCTAAATATGTGTGAATTGCATGGTAGCAGAAATTAATTTCACAGTCTTAGGGCAAGGATTGATTTTTATTCTGGCTCCCAGCAGTCACAGACACTGGGAATGGACTAAACTAGAAGCTACCAACCTGTACCAAAAAGTAGAATCTCTTGATGGGCTCAGAAAGATGCTGGTTGTGATGCCCTGGTGGGGGAAATTGGTTTATGCACCATGTGCTTTCTGGGGAAAGGAGCAAACCAATCTGCCCCCCTAATGCACCAAACAGTGGGTCAAATGCCCCTCTAAATGAGCTTTTTTCAGTCTCATCATAAACTTTATTACAGGCAACAGTAAAAAAGAACCATTTGAAAAAAGGATTTATTGTGAGATGTTGTGTATGAGGGAGATGGAATAAAATCTAAGAAATCCATAAGCACATAAAATGCAACTAGTGGAGAAAAGAAGAGGAAAATATGTATATGCATATGTGGCAAAAACACTTCTAATAAAAAAAATTATTTTTCTCTGCCTAATTAGGAACTATGTTAGCATTTTACAAAACATGCTGTACACAGACATATGGAGCATAAACAGAGCCTACTAGCGTAGGGTGTTTTCCTTTTTTAATTTGATTAAGCAGATTTCTTAATTCAGTAATACAGAGAACTGTTTTGACTGCCAAATAGTATGCTTCCACATCCATTGTCTAAGCATTCATAAGGAAACACAAAGCCAACTGGGCAAATATAAAGCAGGGAAATTTTTGCCCAAGGCTTCGTTGCTAGTTCTCACAATTTATTATGGTAATACAGTATGTTACACTCACAACTACAGGGTTACTGTAACTAGTCCAGATGTTAGCATATTGTTTGACACAGCGTTTTTTATGCACAAGCTTTATATGTACATGTAATAAACTTCAGTGTTTTGCCTTTATTGCTTTTTTAAGTCAAAATAATTTGAGCTTGATTTTTGCCATATATGTGATGCATGATAAACAAAGTGTCCTTTCCAGAAGTTGAGCAGAACACAGATGAGACCAGAAGATGTGTCACCTACTGATTTGTGAGAACGTAAAGGAGAACCAATATGAGTTTGTCAAACAGTTGTGTATTTCTCTAGGTTTTATTAGGCCACATAAAGAATACATTCATAAGTTTGTTAGCTTGACATGTTAACGGTGATTCAGTGGCTGATAAAGTAGTAGATTGCAACTGGAGTAGGCCCATTGAAGTTGGGATTTAGTGAGTCTGATACCTGTGTAAGTTCCGTTGATACAGTGGGCCTACTTTAGTTGCAACGTGCTACTGGATTTCAACCAATGACAGCTGCAGTTATCATCTTTAACTTGAACACATTGCCCGAGATAATCCTGTTGTTTAGCAGTAGTAAGTTGAGTAAGCCATTGAATCAATGCAACTTATGAAGAGTTGACTGACCAAATTCCAGTTGATTCAGTGGGCCTACTCTAGTACAGCTTACTATGATACACAATAGGATTTCTGTTGTTATATTGTAAGAGCCAGTTTTACAGTATAGATAAGCAACCTGCCTTTGGGTTTCTGATCTACCACTTGTTTTTGTAGATTAATTATCAAATAAGCTACTGATGAGAGAGCCCCAAAATATGTCAACATAGTGGTAGAGAGCAGGCCAGATTTACTTCTGTCCTCAGCCAGATGTATTTGGGTTTAAGCAAGGACAAATTTCAAAAATCAAGTAAACAATACAATTGAAAAAAAATACATTAGCACATTAAAGACTAACAGATGAATTACAGTATGAGCTTTCATACATTAAATTCACTTTCATAGTAACAAAGAGTGTAATAGTTAGGTCAGAAATTTGTATATATGTAGTACATGATATACATGATATCATCAGCTTCTCATAGAAAAATTCTAGCTTAAGCTGAAGAGAGTAGGAAAAACCACTGGGCTACTCAGGTATAATCTAAACCAAATCCCTTATGAATACACAGTGGAAGTAAAGAACAGATTTAAGGAACTAGATTTGGTGGACAGAGTGCCTGAAGAACTTTGGATAGAGGCT